CTAATAACAACTAATCACAATAATTTAAGATGGCACAATGTATGAGCATATATACTGTGTACAAGTTTATTATAATTCCACCACAAGAGGTCACCTTCTATGGAGGGTCCTAGACTAGTAGCACTTGGTTAATGATGGAGATAAGGATGTTTAGAATCTTTAATTATTATTATTATTATTATTATTATTATTATTATTATTATTATTATTATTATTATTATAGATTTGTTAGGAAACTTATTATTTATCACTTTTGTTAGGATTCTGGTCTTGTTAGACAAGTTAGTATTGTTAGGATTCTTATCTTGTTGGACAAATTAAGATTAGAGTTTATGAGCCTTATATAAAGGACTTCACCTCTTTTGTTATCTCAAGTTGATTTTGAATAAAAATATGAATTATTGATTGTGAGTTTTATCGAGAGAGTATCTCGTTTTACGTGTTTTACGAGAGAATATCTCGTTTACTCGTTTATCTTTCCTATTCGTAAGCTTCCCCTACATCAGTTAATGGATTTTTAACACTAATTGCCATGTAATTATCATTACCCATGTCTCTAAAATAATACTTAATAATGATCGAATCACGAAGTATGGATTTATTTTAAATATTATATGCTCGTTTATTTTAGTAAACCAAGGTCAATGAACAACACACACCTCGGTTCAATTAGAAAGGTGCCACTCAATATGAATCAAAATCAGTTTGATTGGATTTTATAAAAAATATATAATTACAACTAAAAAACAATTAGAATGAGCCAAAAAACCATCTAGCTGAATCTAGTTGAAGTCTACACAAAGCAGATATCAAAACTGCACTAACTCACGCATGGTACAAACATACTAATTAATTATATACTCTCATCGGGGGAGAATCAGCTTCAACAAAAAGAATAAAATCAAACAACCAACTGGGCAACTAGGCTACCAAAAAGAAAAAACGCACTAAACAACACCAAAACGCCAGATAAACTAAAATAAAGCCCTCCTCCAACCGTAGACAAACAACCACACAAACGACGCCCGTCACATGGAGACGACCCGCCAAAAGGCAAGAAACCCAACTCGAGAAAAAAAGGCAAAAACACCGACAAACGCATAGTTGGACCCTCCACCTAACCGAACTTCTTACCCGACCGGGCTAACCCCAGATCAGCAACTGGAGCATGTCCCCTAACCATACTGACCCAAGCTACCCATAACCTAGCACCCACCTCGCGCAGCCCGCTCCAAGCAAAGCCAACGTCACCTACACAGGGCCGCGAAAACAAACAGAGGGCAGAGCCCACACCCCACCCTGACCAACTCAACGGAAAAGGCCAGAGTGAGCCGAACTCCAACACATCGACACTCACCAAACCCTCCACCAACGAAAAGACAACCGGAGAGCGCGTCGAGACTCTACCGCGGAAAAGGCTCGCTTATGCCAGACGTGGAGAGCCGCTCGATCCAATCGGCCCTGCCGCGTCCCAGAAGGCGAGGCTGAAGGAGGTGACAACGAGAAATAGGGTTCTGCAAAATTGGGGGGAAGATTAGAGGAGAGATATAGACGACTTCTAAAACTCATTTCATTACTTTTGGTGTCAAAGCGTGAGTTAAAAGTGAGTTAGTTTTAAATGAATTTGATTGAGTGGAAGATTAGCGAGATTTTGATCTTATATTTAAACAATATTTAAAATATAATGATTAAAGTTGATGTGATATAAAATTAAATAGGTATGTTACATGGAATGATACATAGTTAAAAATATGCGAGTAGATGAATAATGATTAAAGTTGATGTTGTTGACAATTGGTCGCCAACTGCCTTAGTTAAGGAACTAAGAACGTGTTATAGGTGATTTAGGGAGTCAATTTATACGACTAACAAAAAAATTGAATTAAAAATGCACGGGATAAAAAGCACTCACGATTTGCCAATCGCTTGGTGGATTGGCAATGAGAATTGGTATTGAGAGTGTTATTTTTTTAGTGTAGTAGATGGTTGGTGTCGAATGTCGATGATGTTTATGGGTACTAGGCGCCTCATTTATATGCTGAAAAATCAAAATACAATGATGACATCGTGTCCCATTAAAGGCTAGGTGGTTGACACGTGATGTCATGCAAAAATTCGACTTTTGAAGATGAGACATGCATTTCGGCTTTTCATAAAAGGGACCAATTGGGCGACTGCTTTATTAGTGCTATTGTCTGACGGGACTGGTTGAACGATTACTTTATCGATTCTATTGTCAGTGGACATTCATATCTTGCAGAGAGATCGACATCGGTCGGCCGAGGAATCGGCGATTGTGTTAGGTGAGAGTTTAACATGAAGTATAGTCTTTTGGGTCAGTCTTACTTATCTCATATGTTGTATTTTGGGCCATAATTCTCGCTTATTCCTGATGGGCTTGATTTTCCGAGGAAGCGTGTAAACTGTGATGTGTGATGATGATTGAATAATATTATTTAATTATATTGATAATATTGATGAGAGTTGAGTTGTGTTTTATTTGAGTTAGATGTTGAGTTAGAAAGTAAAAAAGTTATTCAGTCAATCAAAATATGTTTTAATCTGTAGCCAAACACCCCAGAAATATCGAGTTCGACTCGTTCGTTTACTTAATGAATTGAGCTCGAACAACTAATCGAGTCCATTTATTAATTGGACCGAAGATCGTGTATACTCAGGTTTAATGTATATATATTTCAAGAGCAAACAGACGAGCATAACATATTCGTGAATGCATTAGTCGTCGCGAATATCTTGTTTACAATTTTATATTTAGTCAATGAGTTGGGTTAGACATATTCGACTCATTTATTAAATGATCACGGGTTCAATACGAAGTGCTTGACTCGTACAACACACACAACCATACCTAGAGTTTTTATACGAGCCAAGCCAATATGCTCGTTGAGGCTCGAGTTCGACTAGGCTCGTTTGATAAATAATTCGAGCTCAAACTTATTAAACAACTCGTATAGTTGTACAGCTGAGCTCGAGCTCAACTCGCTCAAGCTTGTTTATACAAATTTTTAAATAGTTAACTTAGTTTGACTCTTTACCGATTGAATTCGATTTGTTAAAATTCGAGTCAAATTCGTTAACTTTAATAAATGAATGGAAATTGATGTTGTTTACTAGCTCAATAAGTTATATTCAATTTGGTTCGATTTGACAAGAGCTAATTTATTGACTCTACCCATGCCTATTATTTAGATATGTTAAACGAGCTAACCCTAGCGATTTCGAGCTAACCCTAGCAGGCTTCGGGTTAAACGGTCCGGGCCTAAAAAGTCCAGATTTAAACGAGCTATCAATAAAGAGACCTAACTCCAACCCTAGCGGGTTTCGGGCTATGCGGGCTATAATTATAATAATACAAAAATATCATAAATAAAAATAATAAAAAATATAAAAAAATAACAATGGCTAGTTAACGATTATTTTCAACGATTACATAGTATTTATCGCTCTATATATACAACTACACATCATATATGAACACAAATACAAACTCTTAAAAAACATATATTTCTTCAAAAGAAAAAAAATCTAACTATTACTTATAATTACCATTTTATAACTTATTTTATCCGTTTGGGAATATCACTATAAATTCTATCACTATGTTTCATGTTTCATATTAGTCGTTCTGATTGACCTAAATATTTGGTGTGGAGTGCAATAACAATATTGTTAATAATTAATTATCTTTCAAAATCATAATAATCCATTACAACTCATACTTACATGTGAAGTAAAACTAGTATTCGACCTGTGCATTTGCACAGATATATAAATAAAGTATTGTGCGTTATTTGAATGCATATAATGATTAATGACTTTTGCCAAATTTACAATTAAAGGAGCTGAAATATTTGTTTTTTTAAATTGCGTGTATCATATTGGATGTAATGTATATTTTGGTATGTATCTTTCTTTGTGAATTATTTATTATTTATTTAGTAATTTTAAATACGTTTTTTATTTTCCAAATGAAGTTAATTTAAATGTAATCACAACAATAACATATAATCACGTTAAATAGTCAACACACTATATGGTCAGCTGTAAGTAAATCAAATTTTTAAAATGATTTTTGTAATTTTGAAGTGATTAGTATATTGATTATCTAATAATTAAATGAGGTTAAATAAATAAAAAGTAACGGTTTTTGGAGGGAAAAAATTATATAGCCACATAGGTATAATTTAATAGGTTTTATTAAATGCTCATGAGCCAGCAATTATATATATATAGAATATAGATAGCAAACTTGTAATAAAAGGAATCTAAGAATATTACTTATTTGTTGAAAATATTTACCACCCTCTTAACCCTTGTTAAACGGGTCCGCTCTATCAGGTTTTGAGCTAACCTTAGCAGGATTAGAAATAAATGATCTAGGTCTAAACAGTTTTGATTTAAACGAGCTACTAATAAAAGATTATGGCTAAACGGGCCGACCCATTGAGTCAAGGATTATTGCAATTGCAAAAAAAGAAGGAAAAGGTACTTTAGAGTTTAGATCAATATCTCAAAAAAGTTGGCCTTATCATGCAAGTCCAATTTCCGTTTCCTATCACCCGAGCTCTTCGCTTATCTTATAAGCCCTCCGATTAACCTTTTCTTTTTTAAAGGAAAAAAATAAAAAGATAAATCCAAAAAAATATTTACGGAATTTCACTTTTATAAAGCCGCGATCACGTGTATCTGCCCCATTTCTGAATCTTTCTCCCCCTTTCCCCATAACTCTCTCACACACAAACACACACAGAGCACTAAACTCTACATACAGATAGATACAGAGCCATTGCTGATCGGAGCCGAAACCTAGCTCGCGCTTTCATCTGTGGTGGCGAATCTGTGTCTATTATATATTGTGGTGGCGGTGGTAGCGGTGGTGGTGGTGGTGGCGGCGTGAAGGAGTCTGAGGTGATTTGCTGTATGTCAGTAGATTGCGGCACGCATTACGGTGGATTCGGTGAGCTTGCGAACCAGTTACAATGGCCACAACTCAGAAAAAGGCGACGCTTCCTGCTCCGGAGACGGCTGATTTCGGCGGCGCTCGCGCCGCCGCCGGCGAATCGGCCGCCGTAGTCCGTCGCGAGTCCGCGTCGGCGACCCCTGCTGCTGATTGGAAGGTGACTACCGCCCACGCGGAGGATCAGACCGGAAAGAAGGCGACCGCTGCTGTCGCGTCCTTGATCAGACCGGAGCTTTCGAGTAATGCCGCCAGTAAAGGTGATTCCTCTGCCCGTTTAAGTATTAGGATCATGAAAACACAGTAGTGTTCATTTTGCGCATTGCTGTTTATCGGATTAGTTTTTCATGGTGTGAATATTCTAGATTCGTTTAGATTTTAATGTAGGTGTGCTCTGCTTTTGTGGTGTCTGTGCTTGGGTACATGCATGTGATGTGCATTGATCAAAATATTGATTTATTGTTCTTGATCTTGATATTGGTGGGGGTTACCAGCTGAAGCTATTGGTCTGATTGATCAGTCTTTTGGCTGTGTCTGCTAAATATTTCTTGTTGTTTTGCTTGTTTTATTGTCCTCTGTTTTGTGGATGATGTCAATGTTGTATTTTTTTCTACGGTGGGGTTCAACATATAATGCCTGTGGCATTCTCCAATTTGTCGCCAATTTGGTATTAGAACCAGCCCATTCTTGTAAATATTTAGGTAAGACAGTCTTTTGCAGACAAAAGATGAACTTGTAAAAGAAATTACAGATTCTATTTCATTTTTCTGTCAAACGATTGATATTAGTGTTGTCTCTTAAATAATTGATAGTGGAAGTTTTATGATGCAGACTGGTCAGTGCCTGTAGGCAGGTCTGGGAGTTCCCTGCCATGTCATATGAAAGGACTATTTTAAGGTCCTGCTTCAACATTTAATGAGAATACTTTATTTCTGATCTATGAAGTTGCTGTACTTATAACAAAGAGAAGTATATGCCCTGGACAAATAACTCTTACTAGATAGATGAGCCGAAAACTTTACATGTTTTAGTTTCACTTCATAATTTGTATTTATTATGCATGGACTCAGTAATTTCATATGGTATTCTAAACATTGTATACCTGAACTTTACTAAACCACACTAGATTTATTGATAAGAACAATTTGTTTGATTTTGGTTCTGACGTGATGCTTTGCTTTTCAGGGATCCAGATGATGCCGAGGGCTCAAACTAAACATCCTTTGGATCCTTTATCTGCTACTGAAATCTCTGTGGCTGTGGGGACTGTTAGAGCAGCTGGAGCTACTCCTGAGGTGAACAATGACTTATGATTTGATTGATGTGCATGAATTTATTATGGTTGGAAATGACATCTGTATTTTCAGTCTTGTCACTGACCTTGTCCCCCTTCTTTTCTTTTACTTTCTCAGGTTAGAGATAGTATGCGGTTTATTGAAGTTGTTCTGTTGGAACCTGACAAAAATGTGGTGGCGCTTGCAGATGCTTATTTTTTCCCCCCTTTCCAACCATCATTGTTGCTCAGAGCTAAAGGAGGACCTGCAATTCCTAGCAAGCTCCCACCAAGACGTGCCAGACTAGTTGTCTACAATAAGAAGTCCAATGAGACTAGCTTGTGGATTGTGGAGTTGACCGAAGTGCATGCAACAACTCGAAGTGGACATCATCGAGGAAAAGTCATTTCCTCTACAGTTGTCCCTGATGTTCAGCCTCCAATGGTAGCTCAGCTTTCTTGAACATTATTATTTATTTGGTTTCACTGGCTTGAGTTAGTTACTTTTATAAGCAAAAGAATACCCCCCCCCTCCGTTTGAGCTTAGAAGGGTTGAAATCATGAACATATTCTTATAATGTAAAGGTTGATTACAAAAGCTGCTCATTAGGTCTAGCCTGTTTGTGATATTTTCTATTTAGACACTGTGATGCAACAAGGATTTTATGAACCTTCTTGAATTGACAAATGTTCAACTACGTTTTGAAATTTGAAATCCTAAAATTGATTTTATACTCCAACCCTGAAGACAGCCTTTAAGTATTTAGGTTCATTAGTTGGGTAACTCGGTATGCTGGTTAAATTTTGTGCGTTTTACTATGTTTTAAAGGGCTACTAAAGCATGACTCAATGTGGTTTTGGAGAATGGATCATATTTCTGGTCTTGGTGGCTGTGATAATGATAAATATCATGGTTTCAATAGCTAAGTCTCTTTTTATTCCAATTCTAGGATGCTGCAGAATATGCTGAATGTGAAGCTGTTGTCAAAGATTACCCTCCTTTTATAGAGGCAATGAAGAAAAGGGGTATTGATGATATGGATTTAGTCATGGTGGATCCTTGGTGAGTAGACTACAATGTGCTCATGACTTAACCTTAATAAAAAAAACTAAACAAACTATTGATGGTCTAGTTGGTAATTGGTATTGAATACTCCTGCAGGTGTGTTGGTTATCACAGTGATGCTGATGCTCCGAGTCGTAGACTTGCCAAACCACTTATATTTTGCCGGACAGAAAGTGACTGCCCACTGGAAAATGGTTATGCGCGACCAGTTGAAGGAATTCACGTGCTTGTTGACATGCAGAATATGGTGGTCATAGAGTTCGAAGATCGTAAGCTAGTCCCTTTGCCTCCAGCTGATCCACTTAGAAATTATACCCCTGGTGAAACAAGGGGAGGGGTCGATAGAAGTGATGTGAAACCCCTTCAGATTATACAGCCTGAAGGTCCAAGCTTCCGAGTCAACGGACAATATGTTGAGTGGCAGAAGGTATTCATATCTAATTTACCTTACATATATATATATATATATATATATATATATATATATTGTTTGTGGAAATTTAATAGAATGATTTGAAACATTGGTTTGCAGTGGAATTTTCGTATTGGTTTCACTCCAAGAGAGGGTTTGGTCATTCATTCTGTTGCCTATGTTGACGGCAGTCGGGGTAGGAGACCAATAGCCCATAGGTTGAGTTTTGTGGAGATGGTTGTTCCATATGGGGACCCTAATGATCCTCACTACAGAAAGAATGCATTTGATGCTGGGGAAGATGGTTTGGGGAAGAATGCACATTCGCTTAAGAAGGTAGTGGCTCTTCACTGTTGCGAGTCCTTTTATTTTCAGTTTAATACATTTTTGTCCCTTTGTATGAAGAAGCGAGTAACTCAAATTCATTTTTCCTCATCAGGGATGCGACTGTTTGGGATATATAAGATATTTTGATGCGCATTTTACGAACTTCACTGGAGGAGTTGAAACTATTGAAAATTGTGTATGCTTGCATGAAGAAGATTATGGAATCCTATGGAAGCATCAGGATTGGAGAACTGGCCACGCTGAAGTCAGAAGGTCAAGGCGTCTCACTGTTTCATTCATCTGCACTGTGGCTAATTACGAATATGGATTCTATTGGCACTTCTATCAGGCAAGTGGAAATTCAGCATGAGAAGTACAGGCTCTATAACTTAGTCCTTGACTGGCTTTTATCATCTATGTTGCAACTTGCTTCAATTTGATTAATATATTAAAAACTTAAGTGTTTTCTGCTGTTATTTCCTTTTCTTGGACCCATCAGTTAAACTGATCTTCATGTTTTGGTTGATCTGATGAAGCTATGGGGCACCCAGATGAGTTGCTCAGCCAAATGGTTTTGTCATCTTGCATTTTAAGATTGCCTTATATGTTGGCTGTAGGATGGAAAAATTGAAGCGGAAGTTAAACTTACCGGAATTCTTAGTCTAGGGGCTCTGCAACCTGGAGAATCTAGGAAGTATGGTACCACGATTGCTCCAGGACTTTATGCCCCTGTTCATCAGCACTTTTTTGTTGCTCGAATGGATATGTCGGTTGACTGTAAACCTGGAGAAATGCATAATCAGGTAATTGGACATAAATTTGTAATTACTTATTTTTTACTTTAAGCCTGATGAGAACAGTGTTGATTATGATGCTCCCATTCTAACACAAAATATTTGATTTTTACTTTTTTATTTGTTTCTTCTGCAATGATTCCATTATATATAGGTTGTTGAAGTGAATGTCAGAGTCGAAGAACCAGGAAAGAACAATGTTCACAACAATGCATTCTATGCTGAGGAAACTCTACTTAGATCCGAATTAGAAGCCATGCGTGATTGTGATCCGTTATCAGCCCGTCAATGGATTGTACGCCTCGTTATCCATTTAAATTTTCTGCTTTTTTTGTTTGGTTATTAAATTTCAAGTACTCAGCATTACCTTATCCTACATTCAGTTATACCTTATAGTTTAGCTCATTTGAAGTCTGAGATCTCTTTCTTTAATAGTGTGCATACATTCTTGTATTTTCCCGTAGCAATTTCGTTGGTAGAAAACCCTGTTTACACCATCTTTATTTATCTCTTGAAGGTAGAAGTTTCTCCATATTTGCTTGTAATTTACACTGCTGGGCAGAACTTTTAGCTCGTTCATCCATGTTTTACATCTGATTAAGTATTTTTCTCATCTTATGTAATTTTTGCAGATAAGGAACACTAGGACCGTCAATCGGAGTGGACAGTTGACAGGCTACAAGTTGGTGCCTGGTTCTAATTGTTTGCCATTAGCTGGTCCCGAAGCTAAGTTCCTAAGGAGGGCTGCATTTCTGAAGCATAATCTGTGGGTTACACAATTTGCACGTGGAGAGGATTTTCCTGGGGGAGAATTTCCAAATCAGAATCCACGTGTTGGGGAAGGATTGGTTTCCTGGGTGAAGAAGAATCGCTCTCTGGAAGAATCTGATATTGTTCTCTGGTTAGTTCTCAATTGCCTTTTTTTCAGAAAAAAAAAGTTCGTTATTTTTCATGTGCTGTTTGAATATACGAACACAACACCTGCTATATATATATTTAGGCCAAGGGGTGATGAAAAATATGTGTTGAGCTATCTTTGGCTTTCCGACAATTTAGAGATATGTGATCTAGATTTGAAGTGTGCAAAAAAGATATGGTTACTTGTACCATGTGTAAGTTTAAAATTGTACAACTCTTTCAAGAAATTTTAAACCTGACCCGCATCCGTTAATTACTGGCAAAAACTTTTTCTTTCTTTCATTTTGTTTGGAACTTCCAGTTTTTCTGTTTGATACTCTTGTTATAGACACCGCTTTTTACGATTCATGAGAATTATTATGCTGTGAATCTACTGACGAGCCAAAGTATTGCAGTGAAATAAATTGTTATTGTTTTTCATGCAGGTATGTTTTCGGCATTACACATGTTCCTCGACTGGAAGACTGGCCTGTTATGCCCGTTGAACACATTGGCTTCGTGCTTCAGGTATGTGTTCAAAATGGTATTCTCGAACCAATAGCTATACCCACAGCGTACTAATAAAGTTGTATCCTTGCATGCTAACTAAAAAGCTATTCAGGATTCATCACATTAACTAGCAATTTTCCTTGTCTCTTGAAAATTTACTTGTAGGTTTCCTCTTCATTTTCTAGATTAATATTCTATTTGTGAAGCTGTAATCTCTGTTTTTTTTTTTTCATTGGTCGAAGAAAAAGAATAAACAAATTATATTCCTCCTAATTAATGTCCAGTGTAATTCGTAGAATATTTGTTTGTTTATTAATTTACCAACCAGAAATTCAATCTCAACTCAAAATCTAACTCAACATTAACTCAACACCACTATCCTCAGTATTATCAATCTAATTAAGAAATATCAATCACACGTCACATCAACTTTAATTCATTATTCATCCACTTACATAATTTTAACTACCTATCACATCCCATAACTTATCTCATATTTTTACATTAAATCAACTTTAATCATTTTATTTTAAATATTATTCTAATATCCTTCTAAAATTTAACAAAACCAAATTTTTCATAATTAACCATGGTTAACCAAAAAAACTAGTAAAAAACTGGTTTATTTGTATACAAGTAAGCCCTAAAGGTATTGGTATTTTGATATCATCATTTCCATAACAATTTGATGTTGCTTTACCAGTAGCAACAACTCAATTCATTTGATGTTGCATTCAGGAGAAAGTTATATAAAGAAACAACGTAATGTTTAGAAGGAGCTCTTATGAAACACTGCAAACTGAACTCTATAATCTTGTTCTTCTATTATGTTAAACAAGTCGTGACATGGTAATTTGTTACTTGCTGATTTGGTGCAGCCTCACGGGTTCTTCAACTGTTCTCCAGCCGTTGATGTTCCGCCCAGTACTTGTGATATGGATACAAAAGAAAACGACTCGAAAGAAAATGTTGGGCCCAAGCCAGGTTCCTCTGGTCTTATAGCAAAGCTCTGAAAAACCCTTGCTGTTTTGTCGAGCATCTGTAATTGCTGCTCTGACTGTACACAGATACTGCTGGATTTTTATTTTTCTCTCAAGTTCGGTTCTACTTGTTTCTGTCTCATTTCTTGTTTGTTCGAGATCTCTAGTTATCACTTTGTTAGCTTTCTCTATTCGACTGTTGCGACTTGGGTTTTGATTTCGATTTCTGGGCACGTTTTGTTTTCCAAAACTAAATTGTTGGACGACATTTTACGACTTCGAAACTTCTACTCCTGTTTCATGACATTGCTTGGATGTTTCGGATGGGAATTCTATCTGGTATGTTGTGATTAGAAGGTTTTAGTGTAGTTTTTTTGTTTTGTTTTGTTTTTTTTTTCCTTGTAAATTTCGTGGTTTGATAATCAAATAAGATAGATCATTTGGTAGGATAAGTGTTTTTAAAATTTTCGAGCTCATCTCATAAGTTTCATTGGATAAATTTTCAAATAAGTTCGTTGAAATTTTTTATATCAGCTAGCTAATAAGTTAATTTTAACACTTTTTTTTTTTGATCGTTAAATAAATTTTATAGATCAAAATTTGTTTTACATCGACCAATTTGGCACACGGAAGCGAAGTGGGCAATCACAACTCGGCCCCTCACTCGCTAATCAAAATGATGAGAGGCGAACCACAAGTCGGTTGCTCATCTCAATCAAAAGTGCAATAATCAATTTGTCCTAAATCTCACATGGGTTGGTGATGGAATGAGGAGGCTACGTCGAGCCACTCCCAAGAGCTTTTCTCTCAATGTCGACAAGAACATTCGGGTATAGTGCGAATATACTCCTATAAACATGAGTTTGGATTTTCCGGATGATGAGTTCCGGGGATTGTACCTCATTTTCGAAAATCTTCCTATTCCGAGCGTTCCATAGGAAGTAGATCGTTGCGGCGAGCCCGGCCTTAGTTGCTTTTGTTCTCCAACCGGAGCCTTGGGATTCCTTCTTGATCCACTTCAAAGCACTCTTTAATGTGGAGAGTTGCCGTCTTAATCCAAGCCAATGCCGGATGCCAAGCCATACTTGAGCCGAAAGGGGGCAAGTGAAAAAGAGATGATCGTTGGTCTCGGAAGCTTCCCCACAAAAGGCACAAGTAAGATCAATATCAAGGAAGCCAAGCCTATCCTTGGTTCGGAGCCTCCCGAGTGTTGCAAGCCAAAGGATGAATGAATGCTTGGGGGTATTGGCGGGTCCCCAAACCACTCCCTTCCAAGGGACGGGCGTGCCTTTGGTTCGGAAGAAATCATATACGCCTAAGGGCCCTTCTGATTGAGATTTGGAGTCCCAAAGGCTAAGTGTGGCCTCGGCGGATTGCGTGCTACCCAACTTTTCTACCATTAGGTTCCGGATATCATATAGGTTCTTGAAGAGGGGTGAATCATTCTTCTTGTGGATAGTCCATTCCCAAATATTCTTTTGTCTTAGGTAGATATTGTGTACCCACCTGTACCATAGTGTGTCCTTCTTCGCTTGAATATTCCAAAGCGTTCGTGCCAACAAAGCTTGGTTCCATGCTTTAAGATCCCGAAGCCCTAAGCCACCCTCCGAACGTGGAAGGGTGACGGTATGCCAAGCCACGGGTGCCGTCTTTGATCCCCAAAGGAAACGTCGGCATCGTTGGATGATAAGTGTACGAACGGTCAACGGAAGGGGGAATATTGACATCCAAAAGCATTCCACCCCTTGGAGGACCGATCTAATGAGCTCGACTCGCCCCGCATATGAGAGAGAGGGAGCGTTCCACCCATTGATGTATTCCGAAATTTGGTTTATGAGCGCATCAAATTGCCCCACCGTGACTCTTTCCGCCGTTAGTGGGATGCCAAGATATCGGAAAGGCATAGATCCCAGGCGGAGGTTGGTGTCACGTAGAATCTCCGAATGCTCCCTTTGGCCAACCCCCGCCATGTAGATGTTGGACTTTTGGACTTCATTTCCAAACCCGACTTTGCCCCAAAGTCCCTCAAGCAATCCATGAGGATTTGAATAGAACGTGGGTCACCCCGAGAGAGAAGCATTAAGTCATCCGCAAAGGCAAGA